GGGGCTGGAGTACATAACCTATGAGGAGAGACTGAGGGATTTGGGTTTATTTAGTCTGCAGAAGAGAAGAGTGAGGGGGGATTTGCTAGCAGCCTTCAACTTCCTGTAGGGAGGTTCCAAAGAGGACGGAGAAAGGCTGTTCTCAGTAGTGACGGATGGAAGAACAAAGAACAACGGGCTCAAGTTACAGTGCGGGAGGTCTAGGTTGGATATAAGGAAAAACTATTTCACTAGGTGGTGAAGTACTAGAATGGGTTACCTAAGGAGGTGGTGGAATCTCCATCCTAGAGGTTTTTAAGTCTCATCTTGACAAAACCCTGGTTATGATGATTTAGTTGGGTTGATCCTGCATTGGGCAGGGGGCTGGACTCAATGATTTCCTGAGGTCTCTTCCAGCCCTATGATTCTAAGCAGCCACAATAATGGGAATGTTGCTTTCGCTGAGGTCTAACCTAGGCAATAAACTGTAAAACCTTCCCTTTAAACACCCAAAAGCACATTCTACCACAGGGGTGGGCAAAAGGGACTCCACAGGGCTTCCACAGGCTGGCCCACCAAATGCGTTGATCCGGCTCACAGAGGACATGCCACTCCTCCACGCCCAGGCCAATCAGGGCATAGACACCAGGGAGTATGCAGCGCTTAGAGTCAACCCCTGGCAGTTGACTCTAAGTGCCGCGCGCCTGAGGGCAAGAAGCCAGAGACTTTGTACACTCTCCCTGGCCCCAAGTCAATCAGAGCCTGGGGGTGGGGGAAGCGCACGAAGTCTCCTCCCAACTACTCCTATCTTGCAGGGAGTGTGTGGCACTTAGAAGCACCACACACTCCTTGAAAGAAGGGAGCAGGGCAGGAGGAGACTTTGCATGCTCTCCCCCACTCCCAAGCCCTGATTTGTCAGGGGGCAGGGGAAAAGTGTGCAAAGTCTCCTCCCACCACTAGGGGCAGGAGCACCTAAAAGGAACTGCCAGCTGTTCAGAACAGCTGGTGGTTCTCTCTGGGGGGGAGGGGGCAAAGACTTCAGTCAGGGTCTGTGCATGGGGGAAGCATGGAAGTGTCCTTCTGGAGCAGCCCGGGGCCACTTCAAAAATTTCTGAAGTGGCCCCCAGTTAAAAATTATTGCCCAGCCCTGTTCTACCACCATTGTGTGTTTGCTAAGCTTCTATTTGAACTGCTTCTTACTGCTGCCTGTTTGTGCTTCCAAGCTAACAAATCCCAGAGTTAAGTATGTGAACAAAAGAGCCTGGAAAGAGCCAGACTAAAATGAGGTGGGATGAGTTGTGCTTCTGTGTCTTAGAGAGCAACCTACTTTGTCTCTCTCTGTTTTGGGTTGCTATGTATTATTCTAGATTCTAAAAGTTAAATAGGTGTTACAATGCAACCTTCAACAAGAATATCTAACTTTTCTGTGTTTATGCCATGAATGCAGCAGAATCATAAATTTTTAAAAAAATCAATTGCAGTTCTTTTCTCTCTCATATCCTTCCTACAAAATCAAAATGATCTTTTCTTCCAGGACACCCCGCCATCAGTGCTCATCTGAGCACCGAGCATCCATTTACTAATTTCAAAAGGCATGCTGTCAAACCCAAGTGATGCTGTCATTCCATAGCATTATGTGGTGATCAGCATAAGTGTCAGCTCACTTTCCACATGCTTACTTGAAATTTGTGCCTCCCAAGAAATCAGCGTTCAGTTAATTTAAATACTCTTTAAACAGTCTATATTCATACACTGAACCAACATGAAATTAAAGATTAGATGCATCTTTACTAATGATACTTCTAATAAAACAGATTGAATGGACATTGATTGCAATGATTTTTCTTCAATGGATTGTATTGTGCCTATTTTTACTGTAAATCTCTCAGTTAATACTCAGATGGTACATTGTAACACTAGGTACACTTTTGACATATTAGCTTTGAAAGAACTGATAATATGCAGCTCCAGCATCTTTTGAGCTTGGCTTTTGAAAAAGTTAACTTTCTCTCTGAAGAGCTGAACAATGATGTTTTTAAATATTATTAATCCTTAATAAATAGTTTCGCAAAATAAAAATTCAAATACTTAATTAAATATTTAACACATTTGTATCAGATTCAAAATGAAAAACAGGAAGAGGATGAAGGGAGAAACATATAAAGGATCACTACTGACTGAAATCTGATCAACCAGTCAGAAAAGAGCCTATGAGACACTTCACATGGTTAAGGGTGCTAATGCCACTATCCTAGTGAAATTCCTCTTTGGTTAATATTAACTATATTCCCTTCCCAGTGCAGTTTCACGTCAATATGGTATTCTTTACTTCCTGGAATAAACTGTTCTGTAGGCTGCTGAAAGCTTTCAAATTGTTGCTGAGTTTCATTCTAAAGGTGGGCGTACTGAAATGGTATGAAGGAAATTTCAACATTGGATTGCCCACAGTTAATTGTTCTTTATACTTCCAACTGACAGATATGGAATTCACATAATTCTGTTACTTTATAACGGCATCAAAATATATGGGCCCAGATATTCTGGGGAACAGGTTGCCTAAATGATTAAAGTAGAATCAAAACCTCAGTATTGCAAATCTCATGCTTTAATGCTCAAAATACCACCAGAGAAACTGATCTAGTACCAGCATTGCTTACTGGCCTCAGGAAAGCATCTTCCATAAGCAGACGACTAATGTTCTGCATTTACACTGAATCTTTTCCCCCCCCTCTCTTTGGTATTACTAAATTATTTTAATAATATGGTATTAATATACCTCTCTCTGATCATGTATACCACTGTCCCCAAATAAGGTAGTTCCATTCTGATCTGCATGTATTTAGCTGGAAAATTAACATGAAACCTGTACATAGATCTCTTATTAATCAGACAGTATTAAGAGATCACCCAAAAATAGCCCAGAAGTACAGTGCTGATCTACTTTTATTACAAGACAATCTGTGAAGCAATACATTTTTTCAAAGCACCCTCAGTACTGTAGTCACTGAGGAGAAATTTCTTTGTATAATGTAATTGGAAACCAAAGTGGTTTGCTTTATAAAAATGCTACCATATAATAGCACTGATCAGACATGTAGCTCCTCTTCATGGTACAATGCCAGATGCTCAGTTGACGTAAGTCAGTGTGACTGTAATGACTTCTTTGGAGCTAGTCAGATTTACACCAATTGAGGCTCTGGCGTCATGTTATTTGAAGGCCTCATTCAAGAGAAAAGCTCCAAATATAGTGCTCCTCCAAAGCTGGACGTTGACACAAATGCAGTTTAATTATACTAGGAAAAAGCATTTTGGTGTCAAAATGACTTCCAGATACACAATGTCAATTTTCTACAGAGATATTAACATATTTACCATTCATTGAGAAGGCTGACCTTGATTAAGATTTATGACTGGCATTTCAGGCAGCAGAACTTCAATTTTCTAATTACTTTTATAATCCAAAGTATGTATTCTACTTCCTACTCCATTCTTTCTGGTTTCCAAATCAGAACTGAAGGTCTGCTCAATATGAGAGATCAAGTACCAGCAATGCTCAGTCGACAGCCTACCAGAAAGCAATGAGGTAGAAATGCCCTTCAGTAGGAACCTAAGCACACTCTCAAGCACACTTCCAAGAGGTGTACATGTAAATGTACATCTTCTAACACATTTAAACCTGGGAGCCCAAAAAACTGCCCAGGTGGAGAGTAAGCATAATAGGGGCAACAGTAGCTGAACTTTTTCCCAGTTCATATCCTCATTGTAGATCCTTTATCCATGTGTGTTGTAGTTTCCCATTTAAAGCATAATTTCTGCAGATCAGAATCCTTGTCTTTCTATGTAGGGTATTTAGGCCACCGTTCATTGTAATATCTGAGCAGAAAATATATTGATTATGGTTTGCATAGAATGTTCTATGGTGAGCTCTGCCTTTGTCTCTTATCTGAGCATTTCAGAGTATTTTAAACTTTGCATTAATAGCAGCCACCCCAATTCTGTTCATTATTCATGAAATTCACACAGAAGCATATGGGCTGTGGGATAGATGCAATGTAGCATAACCTTCCTTCCAGCTGGAGCCAGCAACAGCCAGGGCCAGGTTCAATAACTAAGGGTATGTCTACACTGCCACCCTAGTTCCAACTAGGGTGACTAATGTAGGCATTAGAACTTGCAAATGAAGCCCGGGATTTAAATATCCTGGGCTTTATTTGCATGTTCCCGGGTGCCACCATTTTTAAATGCCCCGTAGTTCAAACTACCTGTCCATGGCTACATGCAGCTTGGACTAGGTAGTTCGAATTAAAGCTCCTTAATTCGAACTACCTTTATTCCTCCTGCAAAAGAAATGTTTAATAAAAGGGGAGGGAAGTAACTTGGCATTAATTTGGGAAAAGACCACAGGAAGAGTTCATAAACAAACAGCGTGAGTAAAAGTCCCACCCCAAGTAGGTTGGGCCGTGTCCTTTTCCTCTTAGATTCTTAAGTCCAGCAATTCAAGGGTGTGTCTAAACTACAGCCCTCTCCCGACAGAGGGATGTAGATTAGGCACATCGCTATTGCAAATGAAGCGGGGATTTAAATATTGCACAACGCATAAGGGATCGGTTGGAAAAGGCTTTCCTTGTTGACCGCTCCCCATCTAGACTGCTGCTTTTTGCTGACAAAGTGCCGCGTCAGCAAAAAGCGGTGGCCATTTTTATTCAAATGAAGCGTGGGATATTTAAATCCCCGTTTCATTTGCAATAGCGATGTGCCTAATCTACATCTCTCTGTAGGCAGAGGGGTGTAGTTTAGACACACCCTAAGTGTCCCATGCACATACACAGACCTTCTGTGTACCCCACTCGCAGCTGCTGCCCTTGGACAAAGCAGATCCAGAATTCAGAGGCGCATGTGCAGAGTTCACCTCTCGTCCTAAGTGAGGGGAGGTAAAAAGGCATCTTACTCATTCCGCTGATCACTCGCCCTCTGCCTGCTCATTGCTCTTTGCTACCCCCCCTGCTGGCCACTCATCTCACCTTTCTGCCACTGCCTTTCTGGCCGCTCATTACTCCCTCTGCTGCTGCCCGGCTGGCCTCTCGTAGTGCTGCCACTGCTCTGCGGGCAGCTCATCACATTTCTCTGCCAGCTGCCTGCTGCCCAGCCGCTCGCTGTTCCCTCCTATTTGTGGTGCATTTGGCTTTGGGCAAAAACCCAATGATTTCATTTCTTGGCCTAAAGCATAGCACGGCCACAAGAAACCTCAGCATCCACTGGAGTACATTTAAATAATGAAGACTCCTTATGGAGCCTGTTTTATCTCTACCATTGAGACAATGGGGAAAAGCAGGTTGAACCAGACTTACAGCCTCGAGGACATGTAGCCTGCCCATTGTCTCTCCCTTTTGAATTGGGTATAACACAGTCTGTCTTGTCTACATTCCCACAATAATTGCAATCACTGGTGATCATCTCTCACAATTCCTGCATTTACTATTAACATAATTTGTGACTTCACAACAACCATAATGATTATAATGGGCAAAACCCCACTGTATCAGCTGAACATCTAGCAAATGTAAGCAAACAGGCATGAACTGTACAGTATTTACACGCCCATACCCAGTCTCATTCTTTAAACTGAAAGTGTCTCCCTCTTTTGAGTCAGGTTGAACACAGTCTCTTCTTTTGTTTTGTTGTATTCCCACAATAATTGCAGACTTTGCAATGAGTATTAACACATTGCAATTAGGCTGAAGAGCAATCAAGCTGGATTCTGAATCCTGCCACCACTTCCTCAGGCCACCATCATGCCAGTCAGCCTGGAAGCAGGTGGGCAGTATTAACACCAGCCAAGTTGATTACAATGATCAAAACACCACTCCATCACCTGAACAAACCTACACAATAACAAATCAGGAATTTACAAACTGAATTTACATAGACACACTCAGTGTCTCTCCCCACTTCCAACTAGCTGTAAGGTACACATTCCTTTAGATCCTGCTTGCATTGGGTGACCACTGGGCCTGTTCTGCATGCAGATGGGAGGCTGAGGAGCATGTGCTTAGGAGCAGTCTCGGAGGGGTAGCTGTGTTAGTCTATAACTTTAAAAAAAACAAGTAGTCCTGTGGCACCTAAACGACTAACATGTATAGATAGTATCATGAGCTTTCATGGGCACAACCCGCTTCCTCAGATGTTCCCTGTAGTTTGGTCTAGCTGAAACAAAAGACAGGACTATGTAGCACTTTAAAGACTAACAAGATGGTTTATTAGATGGTGAGCTTTCGTGGGCCAATTTTCTTCCACATATTGATCTGAGGAAGTGGGTCTGGCCCACGTAAGCTCATCACCTAATAAACCATCTTGTTAGTCTTTAAAGTGCTACATAGTCCTGTCTTTTGTTTCAGCTAGACCAAACTAACACGGCTGCATCTCTATCACTATCCTGTGAGCTGTGTGATTCTGCTGAGTGGCTTCAAAGATTCAAATGCCACCCAGCTGATTAGTAGAGCATTCACAACTAGGTTTGTATTTCTCCTGATGGTGCACATTCACATATGCCTCGTTGCACATGATAAAATTTATTCCACATGTGGAAGGAAAAAATCCACACAGATGGAAAATATTAGAGAGAACATTGCATTGGGAGCCTCACCTCCATTAAAAACAGCTCTGATTTTTATTATCTTGACATCACAATAAGTGTACAGCTCTTGCAATATTTATCTGCTTCCATTAGCTTCTAGTGAGGAACACACATGTAGAGCCTGTGGCCACATAGGGCATATCAGATGCAAGGGTCAGGCTACTAGTCCAGTCCAGGGACCAAACTAGTTGCCACTGAGAATCTAAGGGCCTGTTCTACACTGTTCTGTCTTTTGATTGAGGCAAATTCCACCCACCAAAGCCCCACACACATCCTGTTTATTTGGGCTTTGTGCAGATGGGGAGATAAAAGGCATTCAAACTAAATCCCAGGCCTTTGGGAGGATTTCAGTGCATGATCTTATTTGCAAGCCTTGCAATAGTTCATGTTTTTCCTTCAAGCCCCGGTTCCTGCAGTCCCGTGATTGCGTTAAGAAGCAAAGTCTCTCTAGCCCTTGTGATTGCAGAAAAATGCTCTGCTGGTAATGTTTGTAAGTCATGATTTTGGGGGAAGGACTTGTGACTTTTGAATGCTTGGGAGTGGCAATTCTGTCTTCCAAACCCAGACTCAGACCAGTCATGTGTACTTCTGAGACAAAACCATGAGCAGTACATTAAAAAGCACATTTAATGCTATTTTTATAAAATGGCAACATATCAGGCCTATTACATAAGTGCAGCTCTCAGAGGCAACAGGGATTGCAACCGGGAGCTAAATTTGCATATGAGTGGGCAGAGGTGAAAGTAAGTACCTCAGAGCACTGCTCTGGTAAGAGCCAGCTGGGGTATTCTGTACCTCACTAAGGGGATCACTTGGAGCATGCCCCACATTGATCTGGGACTACCCAAGTCCCCCCGGCCCAAAAGCATCCTTTAGGGAGGGCAAAGGGGCTGTCCCTCCCCCCATTCCTACCAATGCTGCTTGTTGCTTGCTGTGCCTCGTCCATCACTGTGAGGGAGCAAGAGCAAGAGGGTCCCTGCTTCCTTCTCTCTCCCGGCTGGTGGAGGGAGGGGGCAGAGGAGTGAGTGACTCACACTGGGCACTTTCCTCTCACTCCCTGACAGTAGTGTGAAGGGGAACAGCAAGCAACAAGCACAGTCAGTAGGAATCAGGGGACCTTCAGCCCCTCGCCCTCTCTAAAAGTTGCCCTTACCCCCCCCACACACATTTCCCCACACATTTAATCCTCTGCCTTGAGCCCCCTACACCCACAACCCTGATTCCTGCATCCCATCATGTTCTTCCAACGGCTCTTGAGCCGTCTACACAGCACTTTTTTGCGCAAATACCTCTTGCGCAAAAGGGAAAGGAAGAGGAAATGCAAATGAGAGCACAACCTATGCAAATGAGCAATCCATTTGCATTTGCTCTTCCGCAAGAGGCTGGTAGTATAGATGTAGCCTTTGTTTTTCAAACTCTCTTGTGGTAAAGGAGCTTGGGTGTACCCCTCTGGATGAAGTCCAAGTGCTTCCTCCTGGGTTCAAGAAGAAAGGGGTTCTCTTTTGTTTCACTTGGTGGTGGCAGCTACCCTCAAAGTCAGTAAATCTGTGAACTGGGGAGTTTTTGTAAGCAGAGCCTATAGAGGCAAGGTATTTAAGGTCTTTGTGGACACCCCCACCTTCTGCACTCGGTGTGCCAGAGTGGTGAACAGCCCTGGCAGTAGAACACAAAACTTCTAGAGACATCTTTGTTGTAGCCTACACTGCTTCAAATTCACTGTGTAGCAGACCTTATATCTAGCCTCTTCACTGGCAATCTGCATATCACCCACAACACAGACCATCAAAAGACTAATGTATGAGAATGGCCACTGGTGGGTAACTGGAGTTTGGGTGATCTGAGACTGAACCAATTTTCTAGGTGGCTCTTTGTAGCATATGGGAAATAAAAGGTGAAATGTAAGATACAAAGGAAAATAATCTATGGTATAAGAAATACAGTTAATTCCAGTTGACACGGCATAAATTAGTGTCCCTTCCTGAGCTCTGAAGGCAACAAAACCCAACCACTAATTGCTATGTACTATTGCTGCTACAAGAAATACAATGTATTTTAAAAAAAATAATTTATAGTTTTGCTATTCACATAATATAAATTGTTCAATTAAGTTGTCTCTTGGCCTCCCAGTGGAGCTGTGATATGCTTGACTTCCTCCCCTCTCACAATGGGGCTTACACTTAGGTTTGTTTCACTATCAGCTACCTCAGCATACTTCTGTTGCCAAGAGATACATTGTCATTGAAGAAAAGATGCACTTTCCTGTTTGCTTATTCCAGGGAAATTTGATTCCATCATATGAATCACAGGATTGGTAATTGAATATAAGTGAGGATTCTAACAAACTTGTGAAAAAAGGAGGCCCTTTGTGCTTCGAGTTTAGGAGAAAATACTTTCCTGAAGGTCTAAATCTGTACTTCAAAAAAAGCAGGATTGATTTCACCAAAGAACTTCACTCAGTGCTTTCAAAACTTTATCCATGATACTCAGCTCTTTACTCATCCTTGAATATGAAAGCTGTTGTCCCTGGAGAACTCGCCAACTTACGAATGATTCTCATTTTGCAAGACGATGTCTTTTGTACATCTAACACTACAGTATGATTGCTAACCTGCCCTGCACAGCAAACATGACAAGCAAGATAAGAATGCAGCATGACATGCCAGGATCAAGGCTGGTATTCTGCTTCTTGAGCTGATAGAGAGCCCAGTTATATGAACAAGTCCATCACATTCCATCCACACACACCCTGGGCAGAAGTCAATCCAAGCTAATTCTGAGCTCCCAAACAAGCAGTTCTTTCCAGCTTTTAGACAGATTAACCTCTGTGACCAATGAGGGTTTATGTCAACTCAGTCACCCATATTTGGTACTCCTTAAATTGCATGAATATGACACCATGATTATCAGTCTCATTGCATCAATGGTACAGTCAGACCCAAGAGTCTACTTCTAAAAGCAGTTTTCCATTCCATGAGGTAAAAAGGCTCAATCCCATAAGGTGCTGAGCACACAGAATTCTATGATAAAGATGATAATGAATGTTATGATTGTTGCATAAAGCCTCTGCCCAAGCTATTACTTGATTTTACACATGGATTTTCTGGAAATACACTAAACTGTCAGGCAGGACCACAGATGTTACTGGACCACAGAGCCCTAGTATTGGGAGATCTGGCTGTAGGGTAGGAGTGTGGCCAGGGGGACAGTGACTCAGCCAAGAGCCCCATGTTGAGGAGGCAGAGTGGCTTAGTGGGGAGTTCTGGCTCCGGTGGCTGGGCAGTAGCAGGGAGTTTTGGCCCCAGCGGCAGCTCCAGCTGTGCATTTCCAGCCCCAGTGGTGACCAGGGAGTTCTGGCCCCACAGCAGTGGGGCCAGTGGCAGCTAGAGAGCTCCAGCTGGGAGAGCCACAGCTGACCAGGCAGCAGAGGAGTTCGGGTGGAGCCCTTGCCATGCGGGGCAGCATTCAGGATGGGCCTTGAGGGGAGGGACTGCCGTTGGTCTGGCAAATCCCCTTATACGATGGTGCCAGACCAGGGTGGTCCAACCTGTAATTGCTTTTTTTCATTTCTGAGTATTCAGTTGTGGCTTTGCCGCACTCAAGTGAG